TTTCTATCACAGAGCTTCAACTACAGAGAAACCACTGGAAAGTCGAAAGAGCCCCTCTGGCAACTGACATATATTGGAATCATCTTGGTTCTACAAAGTTCTCATTGAAATTGCGTAGGGTGTTTGTAAACACATGCCTGGTGTTGATGCTTTTGTTTTGCAGTTCCCCGCTTGCAATCATCAGTGCCCTTGAGAGCGCATGGAGGATAATCAATGCAGAGGCAATGGATAATGCTCAGATGTGGCTTGTGTGGGTGCAAAGTTCAAGCTGGTTTGCTGCCATAATCTTTCAGTTCCTTCCAAACGTTCTTATCTTTGTCAGCATGTACATCATCATCCCATCCCTTCTGTCTTATCTTTCCAAATTTGAACGACATCTTACTGTGTCTGGCGAACAAAGAGCCTCATTATTAAAAATGGTTTGCTTCTTTCTTGTAAATCTCATTCTCCTCAGAGCACTAGTAGAGTCCTCACTTGAAAGTGCATTACTAAAGATGGGCCAGTGTTATTTGGATGGTCAAGATTGCAAAAGGATCGAGCAGTATATGAGTTCTTCATTTTTGACAAAGACATGCCTCTCTTCTCTTGCCTTTTTAATCACAAGCTCTTTTTTGGGCATATCTTTTGATTTGCTTGCCCCGATACCATGGATAAAGAAACAGTTTCAGAAGTTTCGGAAGAATGACATGATTCAGCTAGTTCCAGAAAGGAGTGAAGGTGGTTACCCCTTAGAAAGTCAAGGCACCGCAGATACTCTGCAAGCCCCCTTGATATCTGAAAGGACGTCACATGTGGTGGTTGGTGAGGTTGAGAATGGGGCTCCACATGTCAATGATATTGATTTCTCTGCGGAAAGCATGTCTGAATTCCCGCCAGTCAGCAGAACATCCCCTGTCCCAAAACAAACATTTGATTTTGCACAATATTATGCTTTTAATCTGACAATATTTGCACTAACCCTGATATACTCCGCGTTTGCCCCCCTTGTGGTCCCGGTTGGTGCTGTTTACTTTGGGTACAGATATGTTGTCGACAAGTACAACTTTCTATTTGTCTACAGGGTCCGAGGTTTCCCTGCTGGTAACGATGGGAGCTTAATGGACAGGGTATTGTGTATCATGAGGTTCTGTGTTGTTTTGTTCCTGGTATCTATGCTGATGTTCTTTTCAGTGAATGGAGACTCCACAAAGCTTCAAGCAATCTTCACACTTGCCTTGCTGGTTGCATACAAACTGTTGCCTTGTGATAACGATGGGTTCGAGCCTGGTTTGTTACAACGCGTACAGACTGTTGATAACATTCTTGATGGACCCGTTGATTATGAGGTGTTCTCACAGCCTGCATTTGAATGGGATTCATCTGGTCAATGAATCATGTGATGATATATATTGTACATATGCTTATATATAATTTTTTTCTGCTATACCATATTCTTCTGCTTTTCTTTTCCTTTTAATTGTTATTTATTCATTTTGGTTAAATGATTATGCTAATGTTAGTCAGTGCAAGCCTTGCACAGACTACAAGATTATTTACACTGTATTTATCCGTAACCAGTTCATTTTGTTGAAAGTTAAACTAACAACTTTTATGGTTATTTGTAATCTCTGAAAGGTGAAAACCTGCAGTGTTGTTCTTAATTCTTTTTTTCCCATCCAATTTTAACATCTAAAAATCATCTATCGGACTACCATTTGACATCATGTTTTGGGGTAAAGGGTGAAAATGTGAAATTAATGGAAAATGATTATTTATTCATCGAGAACAGAGTATTACATTGAATATAGAATGAATTGTATTTCAGTATGGAGTATTTAGTTGGATGAATAAAAATATTAAAGAGTACCTATGGTATTCGATTTCTTTTGGAAACATAATGGATTTGAATAATAATCAAAAGAACAGCGTACAAACGTTACACTGTTGATTTTTTTTGACATATTTATGTTCGACAAAATGATGAACAAATAAAAGAGTCAATTCCCTAAATAGGACTAAAAAGTGGCGAAATTGCACAAATAGGACTAAATTTTTTAAATTCCCTTAATAAGACTATTTATGTGTGTTTGGACAAATATACCCTTTTAACTTGTGAAATGTTTTAATTAATAATAAAATCATAAAAAAATAATAAAAACAGAAAAAAATACTAAAAATCGTAAAAAAATAATAGAAAATTAATAAAAAATAATTTTTAAAAAAATTAAAAAAATTATTTTTTTAAAAAATTAAAAAAAATAAAAAAAATCGTAAAATTAAAAAAAAAAACATTACTACGCCTTCCACCCCCTAGCACCACCAGCTCCCATCACCGGAGAAAAATATGCCAACATTTTAAATAATGCCATAATGATGGTACATTCAATGAAAATGTTGGCATATTGAACAGTAATTATGCCACATTTTTGGCATTTTCAGAAAAAGATGACATTTTTTTTACCAATAGTGGAAGAAATTTCACCAATCGGAGGTGGTGGTGCTGGGAGGCGGCGGGAGGCGGTGGGAAATGTATCCATAATCTTTTTCATTTTTTATGGGTTTTTACTATTTTTTATTATTTTAAAAAAAAAATTAAAAAAATAAAAGTTAAATTTTTTATTTTATAAATGTTTTATAAATTTTTATAATTTTTTACGTTTTTTAAATATGTTTTTACATTTTTTATGATTTTATTATGAATTAAAGCATTTCATTATGAATTAATACTCTTAGGGGTATTTAGGGTATAAAATCAGTGTTTAGTCCTATTTAGGGAATTTAAAAAATAGTAGTCCTATTTGTGCTTTTTAGGAACTCATTAGTCCTATTTAGGACAATTTCCGCAAATAGAATACATCAACTTTCATAAGGTGAAGTGAAATTCAGGATAAAAATACGGTTTCCAGGAACATATTTATTAAATAATACCACGTATTAATGCAATAAAAGTATTACAGATATGTAATATGTTCATGATGAAGTTTGGACAATTAGATCATGAGTAACGCAAGAATTGAGGTGTGAAATACGCAGTAAGTTATTGTTGATGGGGCTTTACACAATGCAATGGCGAATAGTTGCAGTCTCCATTGCCGTCGCCTACACTTTGTGGTTTGTGCTTAAGTTTCCATCTTCCTCATCCTGAGTTTATTGCAAAGGAGAAGCCTCATCAAGGAAGCCGTTTTCTTGAGAAGAGTACTCCAGTCACACAAACGAGTTTTTTTTACTTGAAAAGTTGATTCAGGTGTATGAAAAATGACAGTTTGATCACTCTTAGCGTTTTCAATAAGTAAAAAGTTGTTTAGTAAATAGTTGTTCGGCACTAGCGTTTTTGGACGGAAAAGTTGAAATGGAAACGCTGCAATATGAAAGTTTTGGATTAGCATTTTTAAATATAGCCTTATCTACAAAGATTTTAAAGGATTTTAAAGGATTGTAGACATCTTCTTATAACCTGTAAATTTATTTCGCTAGTCAAATCCGCCGACTAAGGATGTTTTTACTTGGACTGGTCTGGTCTGAACTGGTCTGGCTTTTTTGTATTTTTATAACTACCCAAGTCTGGTCTAGTCTAGTCTGATCTGGTCTGGGACAAATTACAGTCCAAGTAAAAACATCATAAATCTTGTATAGATAACTCACTAACATAATCCACTATCTGCTATCCGTTAACCGCTAAATGCCAAACACGCTCGATATTACTCAAATACTTTGTTCTAATTTTATTTAGGGTCACCACATGGACACCCAAACTCATTCCGACTGAACTAACCAATTGAGCAATTTTTTGATAGTCTGAGTGTTCGATTAATCAATCTTACATCACGCGGAGTTAATTGACTTTTTCTATATAGTGTGATGATTTATTTGACAATTCTTCTCAAAACCACAGGCAAAAAATGCAAAATAAGCATTGCCCAAGATGGAGGGGGTAAGGGGTGGTAATCCTGTTTGACCTACAAACAAAATCATGCAAGATAATGTTTTCATTTGAACTTTTTAATTCAAATCAACTAGAAAGTGAGTAAAAATGTGATAATTACATTTACTATCATTTTTTTATTGAAAAAGTACTCCGTAGTTTATTTTGAGATATTGGAAAGCGAGAAGTTGCTTTGGATATAGATGATACTATCTACTCCGTATATTAGTACTCTCGTGCTTCGTATCAGGTTACTTCAAGTGAGAATAATAAGGTTTATTTGGATAAAGATTAAACTTGATAAACATATTAAAATTACTTTAAGAGGAACTTAATCTATGATTATTTATTTATATGTTATCCAAGCTTGGGTTGTTGAATATCTTTTGTGATCAAAGCTGTATAGAGTTTTTCTAAAAATCTAATTTCTGAACAAAAAGTATATAATTCCTTCTCCATTTTGATCAATTAAACCTTCATTAAACTTTCATCACTTACACTCATGTGCACCATGTCCAAATAGACCTTAAATCGTAATACTAATCCACGATTATATGATCGACTGTCGAGGACCTTGTTTCAATGAGAGAAGTAATACTTTTTCGAGAAGTATGACAAACTTCTTTACTATGACAAAATACAAATATCCTAATAATTAAGGGGTGTTAAAATTTTCTAATGTCAAACAATTGAGGGACTACAAATGAAATAAAAAAACTTTTAGTGAACCATTATATTTTTCCTTGATCATTATTCAATATAATGGATTATGGGCAAAAAGAAGGGAGTGGAACAAACCAAATACCCAATTCTAGTTGATGCTAGATTCTCCCTAGCTATATATCATTATGCACATGCAATATTGAGTGGTTCCAAACATGCTAGAAGGATCGGTTTGGGTCCCAAAACTAATTCAATAGAGTGTCCTAAGAGAATTGAAAGACAAAGTTCAGGTCAACACAAGCCCTACAATTGTTCTCTACCTAACAATTGGCATTTACACTTCTCACAGCCACTACAACTCATAACTAATAATCTCTTCATACTCACTACATTCTCTATGTCTTAGTTAGATTTGTGGTTCACATTTCTGCATGTAGTGATAGCACACTGTCCATTTACCATCTGGTGTGGTAGAACTATAAATAAGTATATGTTCATTTAATTGTCAAATCCAAATGCTTCAGTACTTATGAAAAGGGAATACCAATATATAATAATAGAAATCTATATATACTATATGATCAAACAATATAATAATCATGCTTAACCATGAAAGTAATGAGTTCCCGCTCTGCCCTAAACCGCGGCGGCTCGTCTCAGCCCACCCCGAGTTCCTCCAACCCCTAAGTTGTAGCAAACACAGGTACGTACATAATTCTTCACTACATCGATCCTTTGTGACTATTCCTGGTTTTAATAGTCCCGGGAGTACAAATGCATTTTTTAGTCTGGTTGCTATTTGAGGTCGGTAAATTTCCGTGAAGCATGAAAGCTCTCGAGTGATCGTGTTTCTATTTCGGAAACTCAATGGTAAATCTTGAATAAGCGCGTTTCCGTTTCGGGAATTTTGGGGAAACTCTTTAGAAAATCCGGAAACACTTGTGTTTCTATTATAATAGGTTTCACCGTGTTTGACATGTTTGCGTGCAATATAGTTCCATTTGTTGGAATATTTTATTATAATTGGGTTTTATTGTATGTGGTCAATATTATCTAAGCCCAAAAGACTATTAAGATAAATTGTATGGGCCAAATAAATGGGCAGAGGCCCGTGTTGCTTAATTGTTAGGGTTTAATGGGAGCCCTAGCTAGACCAACACACTCCATAAATAGGCTATGGTCCCCAATACGTTGAACCACACCATTCCCTTCTCTTCTCTCCATCGGAAGAGAGACTAAGGCTTCAAGACGGTTCAATTGAGGAAGATCCAAAGGCCATCTACCTCGTCCCATTCCTCCTGCGTTGTTGCTATGGATCGAGGAAGTATTATTATTATACTCTATTATTCAATATGATGAAGATGGTGGAAATATTGAACAATCCATTCGATGTGTTCTTGTATTGCTTCCGTTATATGTAAAAGTATTTCCAACACCACTTTCTTTTTCTCTGTACAATTTAGACATGTTTCTTTGAACTGCTAGTAATTTAATCCTGAATCCACCCAAAATTGTAAAATTTGAATGAAAATACAATTGAATTTTTATCATTTGTTGTGTTTTTATTTGACATTAGTAAGCCAAACAAGCACTTAAGCACCATTATTTTATTTTTAATCTGTAATGCTTACACACTTACATGGTGCAGTGTTTGCAAATTGGTCAGTGAAATGAACATTATTGATGGGGGCAGAAGTGAAGTTCTCAGCATAATTGGTGACCACCAAAAGGTCAGTCTAAAATCCTAATATTACTGTCAACTCCAGGTTCTCTATCTTAGCTCTCAGCCAAAAGTCTTAGATGAACTCGGTCCCAAATTAAAGTTTTACTAAATTAATAATCATAAAATACATATTCAATGGTGAAGATTGAAATATCGTATAAACCGACCAGAGTTTCGAAAGCTTTATATTGTAAGGCGCAAATTAAAATTTCATCTTTTTATAGTTTAAATATTTCTACACATATACTCCGTATATTATATACACCACAAAAAATGTGGGGTGCCTTTGACTTGCCTCCTTTATCCCCACTAGTGTGTATGTGTCATCACTTGAATTGGATGGGATGACCGCATTAGGCTTCTCGATCAATACTCCCAAAATCAATTTATTACACATTTACACTCCAATTTGGAGTTCACGGCTTCATAGAAATTTTAAGAGAAAACTGTCAAATAGGTCCTCGAACTTTCATAAAAAGGTCAATTAAGTCCTTCTATAGGAGGTTCTGTCCGGCCATCGCGATTTGGGTCAATTCCCGATGAAATTTTTTGATGAAATTTTTTGAGCATCTTATTCACCAAGTCTAGTTTACTCATATCAAATTTTAGCTAAAAATTCAATCGGGAACACATTCAAATTAATTCTTGAAGATAACTGCGCATTTCTGCGTTCTCGAATTAATTTGAATGCGCTCCCGGTTAAATTTTTAGCTGAAATTTGATATGAGTAAACTAGACTTGATGAATAAGATGCTCAAAAAATTTCATAAAAAAATTCCACTGGGAACCGCCCCAAATCGCGACGACCGGACAAAGTCTCCTATAGAAGGACTTAATTGACTGTTTTATGAAAGTTCGAGGACCTATTTGACAGTTTAATTATTAAAATTAAGGAAAAATCTTAATTTTTGTCCCTGAAATAATCACCGTATTAAAATGTCAGACACGTGTTCCCCCAATTTGTAAATGTCACCCATCAATTGTGCAAATTGATGTAAATGTGGTCCTTTGAGGATGAAATGTACAATGTGGACGAAGAGTACATTTCATCCTTCAAAGGACAACAATTACAGCAATTTGGACAATTGAGAGGTGACATGTACAATCTCAGAAATATGGGTCTGACATTTCAATATGATGACTATTCGGGAGACTAAAAGTACGATTTTCCCTAAAGTTAATTTAATAATCTGAGTGGATAAATGGATAATTTATTTAAATCCTTAGTAAACCTTAAAAGCCACAAATTACAATTCAATATGAGCTGTAGAAAGTACTACATCAAAACCTCTAGTATATAATATGCCGGTATACATATGTCCTATCACTTGAAATGCCACTGTGGCTTAGTCAAGACCCAAATTAGACTATACGGAGTATAATGTATGTTGGTACAAAGTCATTTTAGGAAAAATTTGACATAGACTTTTTACGCTAACATTTAAATGCGTAAAATGCATAAATGGTCCTTAAACAATCATCACCATATCGTTTTGGTCCTTCAACTAATAAATCTATCATTTTAGTCCTTATTCTATTTAATGCATTTTAATCAAGTCCTTTTCTACTTTCCGTTAGTTTTGCCGTTTATATTCAATCTTTATCAATTACATATAATACCCATCTTTAACCTAAAATTACAATTAGCGCATTTCCTTTAATCTTTAATTTGAACCGATACATCCCAAATACAAGCACACATCACTTTACTAAATCATAATGACAATGCACATAAACCTCTAGAAAGCACATTCAAAACAACAGCAGGAGTTTTTTAATAAAAAGGGAGGATTCATTGCTAGCAAGCACCTCCCATGAATCTTTTTTTTATAATATTGAGTTCTTTTCATCACGCCGAGACTGGACGAGGATCAATGGAATGCTTGATCATATTGTAGTTCAAAGTGGAGGTGTAACAACGCCTTTTAGTAGGATGGCTGCAGTTTCAGCCTTGGATGCAAAAACTCCTTATGATCCAAATACCTTAAAAGATTTGGAGAAAGCTTCACCGTTGACTAGGGGTGGGCGCGGGACGGGACGGTTCGGGACTTGACTTATCACGATCCCGACCCGGTATTATAATAACAGTCCAATACGTTTCGGGATAAGTCATTATCCCAATGTTGTCCCATTTAAAATGAGATCGGGACAACCCGAGAAAAACCGGGACGGTTCGGGACGTCCCATAAAATATACATTTGTGAAATGTGATATACAAATATGCATAACATCAAAATAAAGATGTAACTATTTTTGAAAATTTAGCTTCTCTAAAAAAAAGTGAAGTACAACCTCTAATTAACTATATTTAATTATTGTCTTATAACTTTTTTTGGTTCCCCTAATCTTATGTTTCCTTGTAGAATAGTAGCACAAAATATTTTATACTTTGTAGTACACTTGTAACTTTTCAATATCACATTAAATATCATATCTATAAGGACTACATATATATTTTCTACTAGTTATTTTGGAAAATATTAAATCTATAACAACACTATTGTTGAGGTTTATTCCTTCAACCCTCGGGTCCAACACGTAAGCCCAAGGATTTCGAGTGGAGTGTGTATGAATATCTAGCCCAACTAACAAGTATATGGATCAAGGAGAACAGTAGTAGCAAGTAAGTGATTAGGTATTATTATCTATTAATAACTCCCTAATACAATACTTTTCGCTAAGGCTCGTCGGCCGTTCGTCTTACAAGGCAGTAGAAGTGCTGCGAGTAAGAATGCTATAGCTAGATTGCTAAGAATAGAAAGTTGCCAACCCTTTTCAATGAAATAAATGCTTCTATTTATACCCACCAATGGGCTGGTGGCTATACTGACGTGGAAGCCTGTGGTCCGCTGGTGTCTCAACCACCAAATCTTCAGCATTAAATGCACTTCCTGCCAGAATCTAGGTTTCCCGCCTAATTAGTGGGGACGTTCGTCCGCCCGGGGAGCGAGCTGGATTGCTCCAGGTGGCCTCCAAGGGGCATTGGCCGTTCGCCCCCTGACCTTGTGGATTCTCGCCATGCGGACTGGACTGCCTCCGATGGCTGTGGGCTCGTTCTGACGACGTTCGTCGTTATTCTGGTGACCCGTGGCCCTGCTTGTCCCTGCATAGACGTTCGTCGAGATGGGCTGTTGAGCCTAAACCCCAACTGCCGATGTCCATCCCTCCTGGAGGAACATGGGCTCGCCAGGCTAGTTCAGTGATCTAGCTGGACGTACGTCCGGAGTAAGGGTAAATGGGCCGAACCTCAACTTGGGCCATTAACCCAACAACTATATTTTGGATTAGTAGTTATTCCATCATAAATAATATTCCACACGTAATAATGTATTACGGAGTAGTATCGGAATGAGAACTAGAGAAATTTAATCAAAAGAAACAAAAGAAACAAGACGAATTAAGACATGAAATAAGATAACATGTACATGACACTAGGGAGACTAAGGGGTAGAAAGTTTTAATTGGGTTTGACTATTACATATCATTAGAAATTTGAAATAACCTACTATTTTCAAACGGGACACCGGGACGGGACATGATATTCTATAGCTATCCAGGTTCTGTCCCGGTTAATATCTGTATGGGACCGGTTCGGGATGAAAAAATTGCATCCCAAATGGATCGGGATAGTTTCAGAATAGTTTCGGGATTTTTCGGTTTGGGACACCGGGACCGGGATTTTTGCCCACCCCTACCGTTGACATTTTTGGGCATTCACTTTTCATGATGAAATCACAATAGAAGGATTGGAAATGTCAATTTGACAATATTCATGGGGCTAAAGGTAGAGAATTTTAAAATCGTGGCCTATAAATTTGTCACACAAAAATTTGATCAATTTATCTGCCGAGTTTTGTTTTTTTACCAATTTGTCTCTTGATTTTTTTTACCAATTTGGTAAATCACCCATTTTTAAATAAATTTGATAATTTGGCCTAAAATTTGTTGGTTATGTAATTATTAAAACATAATTTTAATACCGCGTAGAAGAAAAAATTTCATATAGACCCTCTTTTTCTATCCCTCAAAGAGGGTGTGTTTGGTTCATCCGCTTGTGCTTTTTCATCTATAATAATATTTATTCCAGGTACATGCTAACATTATTGATTGTGTTTAATTTTGATTCTATGATTTTGATTTTGCTTAGAATAGTTTATGTTTTAGACTAGACCAAACTAGAACTCAATTAAACTAGACAAGATCAAACTTTGGTAATTATAAAATACATATATAATAGACATCTACCTGACCAATTTAGACTAGCTCAAAACCTAACAATTTTAAAATACACAAAGACCAGACATCTATCAAATTCAATCCAAGCCATTGATAAACCGCCCTCCTTTTTTACCAATTTGTTAATTTGGCCACAACCGACCTCTTTAAATTTAGTTGGGAATAATGCTTGGACAGTTACGTGAATTCTCTTAACTCATCGATCAATAAAAAACAATATCTTTAATTAAAAAAAAAAACAGTAAATCCTAAGGTACAAGCTATTAGCCATGTATTATGAGGATCGTACTCCTAGAAACATGCGCACCTAAGGTACAAGCACGTAAGCTTGTATTTTTAAGTCCAAGCACCTAAGGTATAAGCACATAAGCTTGTCATCGGTTCAAATTAAAGATTAGAGGAATAAGCCATAACTGTAATTTTAAGTTAAAGATGGATATTATATGTAATTTATAAAGATTGAATATAAAAGGCAGAACAAACGGAAAGTAGAATAGGACTTGATTAAAATGTATTAAATAGAATAAGGACTAAAATGATAGATTTATTAGTTGAAGAACCAAAATGATATGGTGATAATAGTTTAAGGACCATTTATGCATTTTACTCTAGTATTTTTTAAAAACTTGGGTCACCAGAAGCTTAGTATGCCCCTCTACCTCCACACATGGATGGGTCATAAGAGCATCTTCAATGTAAAAATGTGAGTGATACATATAAATTGATCAATGATGTACTTGTGTCTCTTCTTATTTAAATGATTCTCTACTT